ATAAATGTGCTCTGTCAGGCAAATCTTCTCCTCAAAGCTTTCCAGCTGAGCAGCCAAGATGAGTGACAAGGAAAGAGGGTGCTGTACAGCTTTCTTGCTCCTTGCAGAGAGGCTTTGCCCCCCGTTTGGGTGCTCCTCAAAGCAGTTTTGCTGCGTGCGTGGCACAGGTTTCTCTCCCTGTTGATGTAGGAGGTGTACGGGCGTGCACAAGACCACAGCATGGAGAGCTTTTGCAAACTCATAGATGTTTCCAGATGTGTAGCTGATGGATCTGAAGGGAGCTCAGGTGAGGGCTCATCACCAGCATCTTACCAGCATTTGTCAGCTGGCCTGTGAGTGTAGGGCTAAGAGAAAGGACATATGCCAGCTCTGTGAAATGCGCTTTTTCCTGACAGCATCGTCAGCTGGGAAAGCTGAACTCTGTGTGGTCTGTCCCATCTCCCCAACCCTGAGATGCTTTGCAGTTTTCCTCCCAGAGCTTGGAAACCAGAATAACGAATGCACGTTCCCACGCACGTGCACCGTGAATGCCTGATGCTAGAAGGGACCAGGTCTTCCATGGTATCGCTGGTGATGCTTTTGCTAGAGATTCATCCCTGCGTGTTTTTTCAGGAATGATTATGGCTGCAGTTTGGTTCTGGTGGTAAGATAATATGCTTAGTGAAAATGGCAGCTCTCGTTGTATATGTCTTGTGCTTGATTATTGTCCTTTCTACGGAAAGGGCACAATAGTGTTTGCCAAAACCCAGTGCTGTGGGTTTCAGTTTCTGCAGGTTGAGGTAAGTCTGCCTTGCCACTCATGCACCCTCTGACCGCAAAAAAACCCCAGCCTTATATTGACCTTACGTAAGTGATGTGATATAGACTGATGTAGGTGGGGCAGGGAGACCTTTTGGCCATTGCTTTTGGTTTTGTGGGAAATGATTAATCACTGGAAGCAGCAAGGGAGGACGGCGGCAGCACCTGCCTGCCCGATGGAGTTTGTGTCTTCTCTTGCATCGTGCCCGAGGATGCTGATGGTACAGAGCAGAGAGGAGTGTGCTGGATGGAGAGCAGGCACGTTACCCTGCATCAGAGTCAGCGTCATGGTGTCATGCTGGCACAGCATCAGGAAGCCTACGGCTGCCGACGGGGATAGTGCTCAGCATCATCGCTCCTGCCGGTGTAATACACTATCCCCCGGCTCTCCTGGCAGCCCCGCATGCAGTGCTCTCCCTGTTTGCTGGGCAGTGAGGTTAAAACTTTGTCAACATGAGCAAGCTGGGCTGATTTTTTTAAGCTGACTCAGTTTTCTAATAAGCTCTTGGGCTCAGTCCCACCAGGGTGTGCGTCAGCTTCAATTATTTCCTGATAGACTTGGATCATAAACAGCGAAAAAGCCTTTGTTTAGACCGTAAGACGAGCGTCCAGCTCTGCCTTTGGCACCGCATCGGCTAAATCCCTTCTTCTGCGCGCGTGTTTTGTGCGACCCGGGACAGCTTTCAGCTTTCGTACGCCGGGGCTCAGGCTTGGGGCTGCTCTGGAGCCTCCCCCAAAGCTCTCGGGAGGAATTGCAGAGGTTTTAGGAAGGTACCTAAAAGACATGGGTTCCTGAAGCAGAGAGGTTTGCGTCTCACCCATGGGCAGATGAGAATGAGATGTGCAGAAGCAAGGATCCTGACCCCAAAATAGCATGTCTCATGAAGGCTCTGAAATGGGCTGTTTGTTTATCCCAGTGCTAAACTGGGGTATTTATCTACAGACCACTACAGAGCAGTGTGGAAAAGACCATAGTTTTGTGGCTGGCTTATACCCTCGTACGGTACCCAGACCAGAAGGAGATGCATGAGATGTTGTGTGCAGAAGTCATGTTCTCTAAATCACATTTTAAAACCCCAAAATAGAAGTAGCCCAGTACCGGCAGGGCTTCTGAGTCGAGCTTGCTTGTGAAGAAAAAAGGGCTGAAGGAGTGGCCTGGTGGGATGACCATGTGAAGGATGAGCTGGCTGTGGCCACCGATGTAGAGAGATAAGGATTAAAATACGCTTTGCCCTGCTCTGGCATCTTTCTTTGGAGCCCTCGATGTGCTGTATCGGTGTTGATGGACGAATTGCTGGGTTGTGTTGAGGAGGTTTCTTTGGGCTGAATTTCTCCGAAAGTGGCTTGATGTGAAGTTCAGGTCTGAGCTTCCACCAACCATCGGGACACACCGCTCAGGAGGTCTGGCAGCCGCGCACCAAGGGCCGGCGGGAGCACGCTGCTTGGGGAAAAAAATCACTTACTGGAGAGAGAAGGTGGTCGTGCCACATTTGTACCAGCAAAAACTTGTTTCCTTTACTTTCTCAGCTTTTTTGCCACATGCCTCTTGTGAATCGTTTCACTTCCCTGGCAGTTTAGTTGTTGGGATAATACTAGAGACAATTTCAGTTGTCTCTTTCAGGATTATATTGGAGGCAATTTGCAGCGCTGAATTGCAACACGGTGGCTGCTTACTCCACAGCATTTTAGCACGTTGTTTACTTTTTAACAAGAGTTTTTCCACATGATGCATTGAGGGCTCAGAGATGGAAACCCCCGCACAGCGCTGAGGGTGGACGCTTATTTCAGGGGCTGTTGCAATGCTTTGCAAGGGTAACAGCTGAAAAAAATAGATTTAATGAAAGCTGATAGCACCAGGCAGCTTGCTGTGGATGTTACACAAAGGTAAAAAAAATACGATAGGTGTCAAAATTCATGGTGTTTTCTTCTCGCATTAGGGATGCCAGTTACACAGTGAGGAAGGTGTTGCTGGCAGAGAGCAAATGGAGAGCAGTTAGAGGAAGCAGTGTATGCTGTTGCCTTCCCAAAATCTTTTGAGGCTTTGATTAAAGAATTGCTGCAATGTGTTTCCAGAGCTTCCAGTGGAAAACATGAAAAAAACCCTTCTCTTTTATTATTTTTTCTGTGCTAATTTGACAGGCTGAGCTTCCTAGGGTTCATCCATCCCCAAGCCTAGAGTGGTAGCTATTTCTTGCCGCAGGGTCGCCAGCGGGAGGGGAGATTTTGGCATGCCTGAGGTTTAGCATAGACTGACGTCCCATTGAAATTTGCGGGATTAAAACCCTTCTTTCAAGTCAAGCGTGGTGATAAATGAGGTGTTGAAAAGTATGGGTTTAAGTATGCTGTTAAACCCATATTTCCTTCCCCGCAAACTGGGAAACAGAAGGTACGGCCGTCAAACGCTTGCGACGCTCAGATGTGAAACGGCTCTTGACTTGCGCTGTTTCCAGCTTGTGCTGACATGGTGTTCTCCATACACCGTGCCCTGCCACTATCTGTAGATCTTGAGTTTTTCTACCTGAGCTGCCAAAATCACCTGTCACTGCGTGCCCGATGGAGGGGGCGAGTGCTGGTGCCGTCGCTTTGCTGCCGGTTAGCACAGCTGGAGCTGGGCGAGCATTGCTCCTGAATTGAATCAGCTTTTGATTAATGGTAGTCACCGCGTAGGCACCTTGATATGTCTGGGAATAAACTACCCCAATTTCTGTCAAGGCTTTGTGTCTTGCAGACTGGATTGAACAGAGAAGCTAAAGACCCACAAGTCCTACCCTGGTATTTCTGCTCCAGCAATCTGCAGATATGCCCTTTCTGTCCTGGTTTTGTGGTTTGTTTTTTTTTTACCCTGCCAAAATCTGCTGTAATTGTTTCCCTGCACACCCAGAGGTGATTTGTCAAAATCTCTATTGCTCCTTAGTTGATTCAATATTTATAATGTCTTTATAAGGCCGGTCCCGCTCTGCTGACTTGGAGGTGAGGTGGGAGAATACATTGCATAAATTAGGCTGCACAAAACGTGAGGCTCGCAGCTTCGTCGGGGCACTCGGGCTCAAAGGGAGGACGTGAAGGCAGCAGTAATTGGGTGTCCAGGCAGAGAAGATGCAGCATCTTCCTCAGCATCCCTTCCCAGCTCATCCCTGCACACAGCAAAATCCTGAGCAATCAGTGTGAATGAAGAGCAGTGGTGAGCTGAGCCCAGGCTGATTGCTTATTTTAGGGCTTCCTATTCGGTTTCTGTGTCTTCTCTAAGATGCTTCATGATGCAGCAATTTCATAAAACCAGGCAGATGCCACAAATTGTCATATCTTGATTATTTTTTTTTATCATTATTATTCTTTAGGTCAGGTTAATCTCTGCTTGTGACCTATCAAAGAGCAAGCCAGGCAGGGCAGACAGGTGGTTTACATTATTGGGTGTCATATTATGCCTCTAGTATATAAAGATCTTGAAATGAAACATGACTGAACAGTCCAGATAACTGGTATTCGTGTTTTATTTTTAGGAACCAAAATTTCTAGAACAAATTCTTAGAAACTTTCAGAGTTAAAGGTTGTCCAAGCCACTGTCCTTTTGGGTGGGAATTTTCATCAGAATTGGGAACTCTGCCAAAATCCCCGTTTTCCTCGAAGCTGCTTTTTTTCCTAATAAATAGATGTTTTGAGAGTTTCTGATGAGCACTGTTCCCAAGATCTCCATCAGCTCACAAAGCCTCTTAGCGTTTGCTCTTCTGTAAAGCAGTTTTGACGGTAATGGATGGGTTGTTTGGTTTATTTAATCAATCTCTGTAAAACTTTAGTGCTGAAAGCTATTATGTAGCGTGTAGCGTCAAATGATAACGGTGCTGCTGCTGCACGAACTGCGAAGAGACGACCCTGCCACGTGGATCCCCTGAACTCCAGCACAGCACCCAAGAAGGGACCTCGTCATCCTTAACCAGGCAGGACTTGTGCACCCCTGCGTTCATTCTCCAGCAGCAATTTCCACGGGTGTGCAAGACGGGGTTGGCCTTTGGTGAAATGCCCCGGCCTTGCAGCACCTTAGCAATCGGTGGGGTTTCTTTTTCCCCCTTCCTATGCAATTTTTAGCGTAGTCCCTTATGGCTTGCCGGCACCTAGCAGGGAGCCGCTCTGGGGTCGGAGCATCCTGTGGGTGTGATGGCAATGCTGCAGACGCCTGACCTGGCATCCCTCCCTTGTCTTTGCAGGAGGGGGACTCCCTCGGGGCCATGGAGAAGCTTTGCCGGCAGCTCACCTACCACCTCAGCCCCCATTCGCAGTGGAGACGCCAGGGCATCATGAAGAGGAAGCCGCAGTCCTGGTGAGTCAGCTTTTGAAAGCCTCCGTCACCCCGGTGGGTCACTGTCCCCTCCTCGGTTCTTGCACCCTTGGGGCCACCTGCAGGCTCAGGAGAGCAGGAAAGGGGTTTTTCCACAATGCTTTTGGCTGTGGTGTGCAAACGTGGGTGCCGGTGGGAGCTGCCTGTTGCACACGTGCAGCAACAGGAGGAACAAATCCACCGCGATGAAGGAAAGTGCTTAAAACCATTAGTCAGGGCTGTGAGGGAACCAAGAGGTCAAAACCTTCTTAGCTTGCCACAAGCTCCAAAATCTTCAGTTGTCTCCAATCTCACCAGCATTTCCCCCATACATGGTTGTGTTATCAGGTTGCTCTATGCTCACCCAGAGGTGTTTCCCTCCTTTTCCATTTTCCTTTCCCCATTACATCCCGGTTGCAGAGGAGAGCAGCGCGGTAGTGCCCAGGGAGGGGGGACCGGCTGGAAAACTTGAACCATCCATCCTCCAAACATCCCCACGCTGGGCATTGGAGAGCAGGAGACAAACTGCTCCAAAACATCCTAATTAGCTGGTAATTAATGTACAGGCATGTGTCACCATGCACACCGTGGCTTGCAGCGTGTTTGCATGAAGGGAACTGTTGGATTAAAAATAGGGAGTGAATGATCCCAGTCCTCCCCTTGCCTGGGTCCTCAGCAAAGCATCCCGGCTGCCGACATCCTGGATCCACGGAGCTGAAAACCCTGTGGATGAGGCTGATGGGAACGGAAAGGGCTCCTTGTTTTCTATGATGTTATGCATTATATATTTATTATTTTTGTTCAAGGAAGTGAGAAGTACAAAAGAAGCCGCAATCTGGCAGAGTCAGGATTTGTATCCAGGTGCTGGCTCACGGCCCCAAGAGAGTTTTGGTTCCTGTCATAGTAGATGCTATTTGTAGCGATAGTGGAGACTAATCCAGTGAAAAAACTTAGTCTAAAAAGAGAAGAAGAGAGAAGGAAAACAGACCCAGGAGGAAAACAGACACAAGGGAATAAAGAATTGCATGGCCAAATAGGATTAGGACTATGTCTCCTGGAGATCTGTCTCAGCATCCTTGCACCCTGTTGTCAAATGTGGAGAAACGCCTCCATTTCATTAGCAATGGTAACCGTACTTCTGTGTGTTGAGCGTTTTTAAGGTTGTATTGATGACTATAATTTGCTCTTTTCCGTAAAGCGGCACAAATAGAGGGAGCACGTTGGGTCTCCTTGCTGCAAAGCTGTACTCCACGGGCTGGGCTCAGCACACAGGGCTGGGTAATGACCTGGGAGGTCAGTTACCCTCGTGGGTTTTTTTCTTAATTAGCATAGGAAATGCACACCCCTTGTCATCCCATCAGGGCATTATTAAAGTTATGCTGATGTGGCAGTGAGGAGCTCTTTACAGCCCAAAAGACAAGAAATTCTGGAAAATGAAAAAATTTAAAGCAAAGTGCTTTGTGCCACTCTGTCTTTAATTACCAATCCCTGTCCTTAATTATCAGCTTGGAGCAGTTGTGTGAGTGCGTCCGCATGCCAGAGATTTGCGAGGCTTTATCTTACAAGCCTGCTGTAATGCTTGCCTTTCCTTGGAAGAGCCGGGAAATAGCTGAGGTTTTTCATGGTTTTAATAGCAGGGGTGAGGTTTCGGCCGTAAACGAGCCCTGACCGCACAGCAACGACCCTGGGGCTGCGAACACATGGCGCTGGCTGCTGGCTCTGCCCCGGTGAGGGTTTGTAGGATGGGATTTGCCTGGGTTTCTGGTTTAGATGCTCATTTAGGAAGCGGCTGTGAGTTGAAGCTAACCCTTTGCTAGAAGTTAAAGTCAACCCTTTGCTAAGGTCTAAATGCCATAATATAGAGAACATGTGGAGAATAGAGAGAATGTCTGTCTTGTCTGCCCTGTGCTTGAACACCCACTGCTTTATTTATGCGTCAGCAATTACCCCGTTAGGGATGCTTCTGATTTCGCCTGCCTGTTAGTTGATAGGGAATTCCTTCCACAACCAACAGCCAGCGGGTGTTTCCCCAGAGCCCCTTGCTCTGGGTTGGGGTTTGCAAGCGCCCTCTGATGCCTCCAAGGGAGTAATGGGGTCTTGTTCCCAGGTGTTGGCGATGGCTCGACCCAGCCCTGCTGTCAGATGTTGCAGGAACTTTCAAATATTATGTTTCCACCCTTTTTTGTGTGTCTGTTGGCCATCCACAACCCATCAGTGCTCTGGCTCTAATGACCAGGGAGCTACAGAGCCCCTCTTTGCATTGGTCTCTTTGCAGGGAAGAGCTTCAGCTTGGTGTGGTGATAGAAGAGGGACTTTGGTTGGTGGAGTAGGAGAGAACAGGCCCATTTTATCAGAAATAAAAATGAAGCCTGTGGGAATACTTTCCCAGCTCTTTCTGTAGCTGGTTTTATCGTGCTGCATCTTGTACCGTTCCTTTGCTTGGCTGGTTGCTATTCGTTTAGAAACTAAACAGAGCCGATAAATCAAGCAATTCCTGAGTTTTCTTCAAAGTTCCCATTCTTCCTGTTCCTCTCCCTCCTTGTGTGCCAGTTTTTGGGGAGACTGACTGTGCCCCCATGGAGAAGGTGTTTGGTAAGTAGCTATGGACAATCCTTGTAATTAGGATAAGGTTTATTTTGATTTATTGGAGGCTACCCTTGTAAAATCCCCGTTTGTGCACGCACAGAAGCAGTGCAACCCGGCACCTGGGAAGTCTGGGACTTGTGCTGTGGGATCGCACCAGTCTGTGGATTAACTGCTCCTGTTAGAGCCCGGGGCTCACTTGATATCTCTCCTGGATGTTCAGAGACAACTCCTCGGTGGCCCCCTGCACTACGCAGCCAGCGGCTGGTCTGGGGCAGAGCTCAGGTGTTAAGAGCTGTCTTTCTAAAAGGAAAGGCTCTGTCCTTGTTTTTGGGTTAAATTCATAACCGTGACAACAGGCCTTTGGTTATAGCATGGACAAAGCGCAGGGGGCTCTGGCAATATTTTCAGTCATGGGTTATTAACAGAAAAGCATTGGAAAACGCACTGTGAGCGCGTGCTGTTGTGTTGCAATAGTGATTTAAGAGGTATGAATTATTCACAAAAAGTGCAGCGATCAGCCCACGAGCCTGCCTGCACTGCGGGTGGCCCTGAAAGCAGGTTCACAGGTGCCTTGCAAGCCTTTGCCCCCTCTGCCAAGGCTCTTCCTTGGGGGGTTGAAAATTAAAGCCGAAAGCTTGGGCAGCACAGATGAAGCCTCGCTCACAGCAGGGGGGTTGATTGTTCAAAGCCTGTTTTATCCTGCCTGTCGTGGTGATATCAGTCATGTATGGGGCTCAAGTCTCCTCTTATCACCTTTTTATCCCTCCAAAATCCTTCAAGCTTCCCTGGAATTACTCGTGATTTGCAACGAGGTCGGTAAAGTCCGAGGAAAGCCCACGGCGGTGCCCACAGCATGGCATACGATGGTTCCTCTTGACGGGAGGTTATAGGCAGAAAGAGGTGCCTGCTCGGGGGGCTTCGGGGCCCTAAAACTGGGGTGTCCTCCTGAGAGCTATATGTGAGTCCGGCCGCCTCGAGGAAATGACGAGGTGTGAGAAATTGCCTTCCTTAGAGGTCTGCAGAGGAAAACGTGTCTCCTGCTGGGACGAGATGCACGCGTGAACCCCGCTCGCCAGGACGAGCCCCAAGGCTGCTCTTCCTGCCACTCCTGGCCCCGGCTTGGGAAAACAAGACAGGGGCTGCTGCAGAGGAGATGATGGATTTTCCTTTCCTTCCTCTCCTTCTCCCTGCAGTACCGACCTTGTAACGTCTGCAGGCTGCGCCATGCGAATGACGCTTTCTTAAGCCATTTCTTCTTTTTCTTCGCTCGCCTTCTTTCTTTGCTCTTTCTTTTCATTTTCTTTCTTTCTTGTTGGAGAGGAAGTCTTCTGACTCTCCTGCAAGACAACTTTGGGGTCAGAAAGGGACAATTTGGAGCCATCCCCTGTCCTGTGTTGCAACCTGCCTGGAGGATCCATCCGCAGGAAGCGTGTAACCTTTGGATGTGGAAATCTGGTCTTTTGTCTCCTGCACGGTGATTCTTGACCTTGTAATGAGTATTTTGGCTTTGTCCCTGGTTCCCTGCTGATAATTAGGGATTGCAGCACAACGGCAGGGGCGGTGGAACCTGTCACGGAGAACTCCCAGTCCAGAGCTGTGGAATTACTCGAAAATACTTTGTTAATTAGAAATCCGTATCTTTGGGATGCATTGTGCTCCTGGGTCCCATCTGCCAGAGACACGCTCGTTAGAGCACTGGCTCGTAACAAGCAGAAACACACACATCGTAATCTGTGCCGTGGCTTCATTAAGAGGCATCATTTCTTCAGGCTCACAGCTGCGCCCATCTCCCGATGCTCCGCAGTCCCCTGTGCCCTGCAGCTGGCTTAGACATGTTGGAAGGGGTTGGGAAGGAATCGGAATTTAATTATCCTTACGATCCGGAGCGGTGGGGAGTGCACTTGTAGGAGATAGATGCATTAGTGCAACTTTGTTGCCTCCCTTTGATTAAAAGGTTTCCTCAGTTGTGGGATCAAGGGGGTCTCGGACACTAGTGGGATGTTTCTCTCTTCTTGCTCAGGGCTAGCGAAGGGGTGGTGGCCTCTGCGTGTCACTGTATTGCCACCTCCTCGGATGCCCACAGTCAAATTTTTAGTGGGATAGCATCCATTCTTCGCTGTTGGCCTTTCCATTGGGTAGTGGGGGATGTAGCCACAAAGAGTGGTGTGGATCAGTCCCTCCTGGACCAGCCCGTCCTGGGGCCCCCCGGTACCTCTGCCGAGGTCTCGCTGGCACGGTGAGCGAGAGCCCCGCACATGGGCGCAGCTCGACCGAGCGCTGAGCAAAGCCAAATAGCTGTAATTGGTCTCACCAGAAATGCGGCAAAATAATTACGAGGGAAAATTGCTTTTCTTTATTCCGCAACTGCTGTATTCGTTACAGGTGATAATGGGAAGCAGAACAGCCGGAGGAGGAGG